CTTCCCTTGATCTAGATACTATACTTCTACTATACTCTATCCCCTGCTGCCTTCTACCCTCCCAAGTGTTATTCTCTTTTCCAGGGAGTCCTATCATCTTATAATATGCCCAAAGTATGACAGCCTTAGTTTCATCATCTTGGCTTCTAGGGAGAGTTCAGGCTTGATTTGTTCTAGTGTCCCTTTATTTGTCTTTTTGGCCATCCATGGTATTCTCAGAGCTCTTCCCCAGCACCAAATTTCCAATGAATCCTATCAGCTCTCTTCACTGTCCAGCTTTCACAAGCCATACACAGAAATTGGAAATACAATGGCATGGAGAATCCCGACTTTGATATTCAATGATATATTTTTCCAATTCAGGATCTTGTACTGTACATTCATAGCTGCCCTTCCAAGCCCTATTCTTCTTCTGATTTCTTCAGTGCAATCCTCATTTTGATTAATGACTGAGCCACAGTATTGGAAAGCCTCCAACATTTCACAAATGAAAACCAGGACAACAGTACATGTGAAAGGGATCTAGGAGTCCCAGTAGACCACAAGTTGAATATGGGTCAGTGGTGTGATGCGGCAGCTAAACAGGCCAATGCGATTCTAGGCTGCATCAATAGGACTGTTGTGTCTAGCTCAAGGGAAATAATAGCACTATTCTATTCTGCTTTGGTCAAGACTCACCTGCAATAATACTGCAACCGGTTTTCGGCACCACAATTCAAAAAGGGTCTTGACAAGCTGGAGTGTGTCCAGAGGAGGTCAACCAAAATGGTGAAAGATCTGGAAACCTACTGGGAAGGCATGACTCTACCTTGCCTTCCCTCCTCTCCCTTCTGCTGAGTTGAGTACAAACTGTTGTACACTTTGAACTCAGTTTGAAGTAATTGATGAAGGGAGAAGGTGGAAGAAGGAGAGAAAAACTGGGACATTTTCAATGCAGCTGGGAAAGTGGGAAAGCAGAGGATTAAGTGGGGCTGTCTATCCCAAAATGGGACATTTGGAGGACATGAAATTGTACTAACCCCCGATTTAAGGCTACTGCAGAACTAATTAAGTTTGACATCGCTTTAACTATCATGGCTCCATCCTATGAATTCTTAAGATTTGTAATCCCAGAATTCCATAGCATTGAGCCATGGAAGTTTAAAGCGTTGTCAGACTGCATTAATTCTGCAACGTAGATGCAGCCTATGTGTGTCTTTTTAATCCGTTGTATACCGTCTTGAATCCCCAAACTGGAAAAAGGCAGGATATAAATAAATATACATCAACAATCACAAGAGTAACAATGAGTCTCTTAGGCTGCATTGGATTTTCTTGCATACTTTGTGCCAAGAGGAAAATGACCATATAGTTAGGGTAGAGGGCCAGAATGTGGGAAAGTAACTTTTCCAAGCTTTTCAATGGACCTTCTTCTCCTGCCCTTGGCAAATGCGCAGCTCTGCCTGTGACTTGCTGACTATTTTATGTATGTGAAGCATTTTTTATCATGCTCTTCTGCAAAAATTGAAAGAGATTACCTGGTCAGTTTGCCGATCAATAAAGAACGAGATGATAGAAGCAATCGCTAGATTGAAAAAATAAATCTAATAATATACCAGAGTCTATGGACATATAAGCAAGCCCTTGCTTTTAATAAGTAAACCTGTAATTTTCTGGGACCATTAAACTGCTTGGCTATACAGAAAAGAAAACACACATCCAATGAAGCAATTCATTTTACAACAAGATGGAAAAGATTTATGGAATTTGCTACTGCAAGGTAGAATTCATTCCTGAGCAACAGACGCTGTTGGCTTCTATGGCAGTGGGATAATGAACCCACGCCGGATTTTAGTCCAAATTTTAAAGGAGCTATCAAAGGTGACAAACTTATTTTGCAGAGAGATTCTGTCAAGTGGACAGCTCCTTTCATGTCCAATTTATGGGTGTATCCATATTGCAGAATTAAAGCAGTTTGACATCACTTTAACTGCCATGACTCTATCCTACAGACTTCTGGGATTTGTAGTTTGGGATGGCACCAGAGTGTGGCATAGTGGTTTGAGTGTTGGACTACGACTCTGGAGACCAGGGTTCGATTCCCAGCTCAGCCGTAAAACCCGTTGGGTGACCTTGGGTGAGTCACATTCTCTCAGCCTCAGAGGAAGGCACTGGCAAACCTTCTCTGAGCCAATCTTGCCAAGAAAACCCCAGGATAGGTTCCCCTTAGGATCATCATAAGTAGGGAATGACGTGAAGGCACACAACAACAACAACAACAGACCAGGCTGAATGTATCATCAACTTACAAATCCCAGGATTCTGTAGGACAGAGTCATGGCAATTCAAGTGGTGTCAAACTGCTTTAATTCTGCAGCGTAGATACACTCTTAAACCCAGAGTTGGTGCACCGTTGCCCCGACAGGGAATCTACCAGCTGCCATTGCTGCTACATAGAACCTCCATGTTCAAGAGCAACCAAAGAAGGCAGTGATCAAGTGGGAACATCTATCCCAAAGTGGGACATTTGAAGGGT